TACATCTTGGATCAAAATTTGGGAGTTGAAAGAAATGGTGACCTTTTATGTGAATGGACATAAAATGGAATGTTTTCCTTTCCAATGGGCTTTAAGCTAAGTCAATATTAGTCAATCCAAACTAGGTTTGAAATAAATTATTTTTATTTGTTGGCATGTGCTGGAGAACTGCTTTGATCTATCTGTACTTTCACCAAAGGGCAGTCTGACTTTCCATTTGTAGACATTCAGGATGAAAGGGGTTTATAACAGCCACCTTGTGTGGCTGTGCTATTGAACAGATGATATTATTTAGGTAATATCAAATGAATAAAACTAAACATGCTTCAATAACATATTTTTGCAGGCTGAGTGCAATAGTGCTTTTGGAAACTCTTCTATGAGGATTTGAGGAATTTGGCCACATTTGTAACTTATTAACATTAACAATGAAGTTGTTGGGAAGAGAGAACTTTGTACTGTATGCTGTTAATTCATGTTTTAAAAAAAATAAAGTCACTTTTGGATATGGATTTTTTTTATGACAGAGTTTTGGTGTTACCAATTTTAATGAGAGATATTAAAGTTCATCCACTTTCTTTATGATGATAAATAGAATTTGTATATCTTTTTCATCTAGAGGTCTCAAAGTAGATGATAAACCACTGATTATGCTGTATACAACAGCAGAGAGCAGTTCAGAAGGCATGCACAAAGGTGAATTGCAATGCATCATAAATAAACAAGTGGTACCCATTCCATCTTGCTAATGATGTACAAGGAGAATGTCAGTGTTTTTATTTAAGATTTTTTTTAAAAAGCCATGCTTGTTTTTTGCATTTAGAATATTGGATACCGTTCTTTACTGAAAGACTTTGGCAGGGTTTGGTGGGATCTGGATGGGAATGTCACATGAAGTTGACACCTAAACTGCAGCTTCTAGATTGCTAATTGAAGTGGCAGGAGATGCTTATTCCTAGGCCTTGTTTAGGTAAAAAGGTACTTTTTTTTTTTTAACAGAATTAGCTCAGTTAAGCGGTCTTAACTCAATTGCAAATCCTTCTAAACAACAGAGTAGACGTGGTTTAGCACCCTTAATTTGAAATAGAGTGCCAGGGTAGACCTGTAGTTAAGTGGGGGTTTCAGCCAAACTTGATTGAGCTAATTTGATTAAAAACACTTTTTTCTAGGCTATACAAGGCTAGTAACTCATTTTGTCATAACCTGGACTTCCTTCTAGACATTAACTCAAACAGCTTAGCACATTCTGAAGTACCCTGTGGAGTTGCTTTGTGTTAACTAAAATTTTAGAAGATGTAAAGTAGAATTAAGTAACTTGATCTTTCGTTACACCTTTAATCCTAATATAGACAAATTCATAGAGAAGAGCTAAGGCAATTATTTTAAAACTTTTTTTTTCTCATGATGCATTTGAAGAGATTAATTGATGCCTGTGGCCCAACATATTTTGACTAGAGTGTGGGTTGCTGGATAGGGCAGAGGATGAGAACTTTGGGCTGTAGGACAGTGTTTCCTCTATGCTGCATGGCAGCACAGCCCCACAGTTGCTTAATGAGCCCTGCCCAGCCAGGGGCTCAGGACTTTTGCATGGAGTTTCCTGGCTGGGGAAGGGGCACTTCCTCAGTGATAGCAGCGGATCCCTGCTGAGGACAGAGCAGTGAGTCTCTGTCTGCCCGCACCCCCACTGATCACCTGCAGCAATGAGCCCCAGTGCCTGACGTTCCATCACCCAATACTGGGTTGTGAGCTGTAGTTTGAAAACCACTGGCCTAAGGGATTCTAGTATTTGTCCACATCTGCAACCTGTTCCATGTTAGCCACCTATCCAGTTTTCTTTTACAACAATTAGGTGTGTGCATATATAGTTTTTGCTCTAGCATTTGTGAGTTAAATTCTCTCTCCTCAGCTTGTTAAAATAAAGCATTACAGTGAAGGCCTTTATATTGTTCATGTGTGTGTAAACATATCAATACTTCTCACATATAGTCTGTGCTGCTCACTTTTGTTCCAAAGGAAAGTGATCAGCCATATTTCAGGATCTGGATTTAAAAATATCCATCTCTGCAGATGTTTGTTTAAATAGTCAGGTCTGTTAATAAGTTATCTTAAACTACAGCTGGACTACAGGTCCATTTAAGTATTTGCTCATAAATGTTGTGGGTGGAACAATATGAGCAAGGATATAGAAACAAATCAAAGCAAAATTTTGCCTGAGGTCAGCAGCAAAGCTGGGCTGAAACATAGGCCTGGTTTTCAATGGTGTAGCATTACTGTGGAGGCTTATGAAAAGTAAAAGGGGTTGGAGTGGAAGACTGGAGAGTGAGTTATTCGGGCCAGTCTCTGTTCAGTTAATCTCCTCTACAGCAACATCTCTGTGGTTAAAGTCCTCCAAGGAGGCCATAGGGAGTCTATAACTATGGAAAATCCACACAGCTGAAGAGACAGAGATAGCTAGAGTAATAGTGGGTGGAGTGAAGTAGCGGGTTGTACTGAGTTGAAGGGTACGTTGGAGGAGTACTGTTTTGGCAGGAGGAATGAGACAAATTCAAGTGAGGGAGCCAGAACCTGAAGCAGTAGGTGGAGGAGCTGTGGGGGGTCCAGAGAGAGAAGATGGAGTGGGGGCAGAGAACTCAGAGTGGGTGAGTACAAAAGAGAATGGATCAACAGGAAACTGATGGATTTGTTTGGGAGGAAGTATTGGCTTGAAAGGGGGGAGGAGGAGCAATGAAGTGAAGTATTTTACCGTTATGGTTATATAATGAGAACACGCTTATCAATTGAATATGCAAATTAGATTTTGCTTAATCTGCATGGAGCCTTCTCCACACTTGCAACATGAATGTATGTTAAGTGGAATAGTGACACAAGCTAATTAATAAGGCTTTAGTTTTAAAGCTGGTTTTGGTCTGTGTAGATTAGTGGTCAAGAAACAGACCAGATATTTTAGCCTATTGTTCCCAATGATCTGTATCTTAAGCAGTTAATTGTAGGCAAATTATGAAGGATAGCAAAGTCATACAAAACAACTTCACCCTTGTTATTTTTGTATGTGCTTTCAATGAATATATGTATCCTTGCAATGAATGTATGTCAGAAGCTGCAGGAGATTGGATTTTAAATGTATCACAGGTATTTATATACCTTAAAGCCAGATTTTTAGAGTTGTATGTGCAAAAGAATGTGTACAATTTGCATGTATATTTACTTGTTACATATGAACTTGTGATAACTGCATTATCATTTATGCAGATATAGAAAGGTCTTAAAAGCCTGTTTTACCAAAAGAAGTTGGTTCAATAAAATCTTTTATTACATCCCCCACCTCATCTCCCTAATATCTTGGGATCAACACAGCTATAACTACACTATACATATCTAATTTATGAATTCATTTTTGCAAGCACTGGTTCTAAAAATCTAGGTTGTGTAGACTGAGTGTAGGAGTATGACCTGAGGTGACAGGAGATGAGGAGGAAATCTGTCACTTATTCAGATTGTCTCCTGGTTTTTTGGACTACTGTATTTGATATAAGTAAGGTTTTTCAGTCTTATCAAACCATAATCTGCTTGAAAATGTGGCAAATGAGGAAGTAATAATTCATATCTTGCAACAAGGCAGTGGATATTTTCAAATTGCTACAGTTCAGTAAAAGTGTGATGGCACATGACAATGAAGGTATGACCGTAAATCTTACTTCTAGGCAATATTGCTATATACCAGCACACAGTTATTGGATTGCAAAGGGATTCACATTTGATTCCTGATAATATAAAGCCTATTCTCTTGTCTTTAGCTGCTGTTCCAGGAAGGGTTGGTCTTATGAGTATAATATTGCAGTTTCACTGTCCTTATTGGTTGTTTCTGTCCCCCTCTCTTTATAGCAGGAGAAAACCCTATTGAATTTGACGCTTCCTTAGGTTTCTATGTATGTGCTTGGGTTAGTTCAGTGGTCCCCAACCTTTTGGGGCTGCTGGAGGCGGGGCCACTCATACGCCGGACACCCAGGGGCGGGCTGAGCACACGCCCAGGGGCGGGGCTGCGCATGTGCCCAGGGACAGGGCCACCCATATGCTGCGTGCCTGGTGCTGGCACCACCCACACACCACACTGCCAGGGCTGGTGCTGCTTCTGTGCTGCTTCTGTGCTCCGCACCTGGGGCCGGAACAGCCCATGCGCTGCATGCCTGGGGCCGGTGCTGCTCCTGTGCTGCGAGCCCGGGGCGGGGACGCCCATACACCGCACGCCCAGGAGCTGGCAGTGCCCATGTGCCGCGCACCTGGGGCTAGCGCCGCTCCTGTGCCGCGTTCCCAGGAGCCGGCACAACCCATAAGCCATGAGTCCAGGTCCGGCGCCACCCCTGTGCCGCGCACCTGGAGCCGGCATAGCCCTTGCGCCATGCACTGGGGGGGGCCACCCATACGCTGTGCGCCTGGGGGCGGGGTTGGCCCCTATCACTTGGCGGGCGCACAGAAATGGCCCGGTGGGCACCATGGCGCCCGTGGGCACTGCATTGGGGACCACTGGGTTAGTTGTCTTGCTGGTAGGTAATTACCTAGGAACAGAGGCGTTTCAGGGTACTTGAGCTGTTACATTGGTTGTTCTCCATGCTTCCTTGTGTGTGTCAAACACTAGTGACGTGTTATGTTACTATAACGATATGACGGTGCTATGAGGGGCAGGATTTTGATCTTGCACCGATATTTCCAAATGTCTTCACCTCCTATCACCATTAGAGCTGATTGGGAATGTTTTAATATAAGCAATTTTTCATCAGGAAATAGTGCATGGTATCACCTCCTGTTACCATTAGAGCTGATTGGGAATTTTTTAATATAAGCAATTTTTCATCAGGAAATAGTGCATGGTTGAAACCAAAACAGTTATGTTAAAAAGGACAGACAGAAAAAACAGGAGACTTGGAGGACCGAGTGGATCTTTTTATAGTAAAATTAATGAGAATGAGAAATTGACCTCTGGCTTTTTTTTGTCTTTTACGTAGGGTGACAGTATTATTACAGTACAGCTGCCTGAAGATGTACTTGAAGATGATGTAACTTTTTACTTGGTGTTTACTGGCTCCACTGTCCAACACTGCACAAGCACTAGAAAAATTAATCCTGGGACATTGGAAACCATTGCTCCTGGTATGTGATCTATGTTCTTGGCAAAACGCAGCCTAAAAACATTGTGAAAACTGATGCATCAATGTTTTATTCAAACCTTGTATAATATTGAGAATCTTTATTATTTTCCCCTACTTGCACAAACTTCTAGTGTAAAAGGAAAAAAAGGTTATTTTGGAATAATCATTTTTTAAATCGTGGCTTGACTTGATACCACAGAACAGATGGTTGCAGTACATGGGAAAAGAGGGGAAGGTGTTGTCTGCTGCGGGGCACTAAGCATCCACTAATTTTTTCCCCACTCCTGTGGTATGTACTGCCCAGGAAGAGTCATTGTTGGATCCTCTTTGATCCAGACGTCAAGTAAGTAAAGAAGTTCCGCACTTTCTTTCAGTGGCTTCAATACCATAGGAATGAAAAATTTCCAAATGGCATTCCTTACTATTGACCTTTTATTCTGGCTGTTTCTGTACAGCATATTGACACTAGTGTGAGGAAAAATTAATCTAATATTTTGAACTACATAAAAAGTATATAATTTATATAATTTAGTGTATTTCCTGCTTTTTATCTGTCTGGTAAGTAATGTTATAGGAGACATGCATTTTTGACTGGAATTTCCTAATGACAACATGGTTCTGAAGGTTACTGTTATTTGTTTCATCCAGGTAACTGTAAGATTAAAGCAAAGTTGGCCTATCATTCATTCCTTACAGTAACTGCTTGCACTGTCAGGGTAATTAAAGTTACTTTGATAAGCTCAATCTAGTACAAATATTGATTACTAGCACCCAGTGCAATCAATGAGACTGATTTAATTTTCTCACTGAAGTAATATAGAACTGGTAACTCTTTGACTGTTTTTGTGTTGTGTGTAACAAGTCATATAATATCTCTGAGACAGCTTTGGGTGCCATGATCTCATCTCCCTTGGGATCCAAATAGCTGAATTGCCCAGAAAGGAACTGAAACAATTCTATGTTCATTTTCAGCCTGAAAAGTAGCCAGAATACAGTATTTCATTACAAAAGCAATCCATTTCTGTTCTTAAGATCCTAACATCCCTGTATTGCGACAAAGGACACCATTTGGGCTTCTGTTTGACATTAATGATTGTATTTGCAATGCTGCTGGAAACTTGTTTTTAATGTGTACATTTCATTTTCAATGATTCTGTCACAGAAGGGACGATTTTGGTGAGGGGCAGTAGTGTGTGTGTGACGGGAGAGGAGATGCGTTGAAGAGTCTGTCTTTTTATCATACTTGAATCTAGAAAGAAATCTATTTAGCCGGTATTGTTCCATGGTTCAGTCTCTCTGCTTGAAGATACTGATTCTAAGAGAATGATCTCTCTTAACTCAGCTTCTCCTCCAGCTGAACTCTACACTGAATCTGTAATCATGTGCTTACCTTGTGTATACAGCCAGTTACGTTGGAAATAATTATGATGACTCGTAGCCAAGTATTATTTGACTTCACTGCAGGATTAATTATGAGGAAGACTCAGAGTGTGGGAGACCAGCCCTTGTTGAAACATCCTAGCTGAGGTAATAGGTAATTAATAAGTCCTTTTTTATTACAAAAATTATGAACAAAATTGAATGGCTTTTGCCTAATCCCCACATGACAGAAGTAGGAGGGTATATTATCTGCTAAGCATAAAAGGTAGGGTGAGAGCTCCTCATATTATTGGCACCTTCTCAATATTAGGAGCTTATATATGCAACTGTGCTTGCCCCAAAGCCCCTCCTCCCGCAAAAAAAAAGTATCACCATTTTTCATACTTGGTATCTGATCACCATACATAAAAAAGAGCCTTTGGAGTGGACCAGCTTTCACAGTGGCTAGTGTTTTCCAAGCCCATAAGGGCCTGATTTGTAAGCTAGAGTGTGGTTAGTGCCACAGCCAGCTAACACGTTATAGCATGCAGCATACAGTCATATTTAGAGGTATATTCCTTTGCTAACTCATTGTCCACCCTGCCCAGAGGATTGTGCTTGTGCACCCAGACCAACCAGCTCCTCTCTCATAATTCCCTCATCTTTGCCAGATTTCATGTTGCCAGATCAGATAATGTAGGCACAGGATGAGTAGTTGTTTTTTGCTTTTGCGGGGGGGCGGGAGGAGGGAGAGAAGAAGTAAGTTTAAAGAGAAAAGGGTTTAAAGTATGGATGTGAAGGTTTAACTGGTTAACCGATGAGACTGGAGCAGCTTCCCTGCTTGCCACAGGCAAGGGACTGCTCCAGCCCCATAGGGGGACTGCTCCAGTGCAGCCCCTCTCTGCGGCAGGCCTGGGCGCTCCACAGGCAGAGGCTGCTCCAGTTGGGATATCAGAGCATCCCCTCCTTGCAGGGTGCCTTGGCCCACTGCAGGCAGGGGCTGTTCCAGTGCCCCAGCCAGTGCAGTTCCTGCCTGCTGCGGGAGAGGAGAGGAGCGTTCCAGCACAGTGGGGTTTCCCCCCCCCCCAATCAATTAATTGGCACTTAGACCACTTTTAGAGAGAGAGAATGAGTTCTGAATGGCTCTCAGTTAAGGCTGTAGAGCAGCTGGCTTTTAACTCGAGCTGTAGAGGCTCATGAACTAAGCTCCAGAGGTTTCAAGTTTGGTTCCACCTGTCTGTCTGCTGCACATGCAAGCCATGAAAGGGGAACTGATAGGCTGGAAGTATTTAAAAGTAAACAAACTCCCATAAAGGAAGAGCATTTGATTAGACTGAATAGCGTTAGGCAACTATTTTTTTGAAACATGTGACTTTAACTGCTAGTGTCCCTTTCATATCTCATTATACAGCAAAATATTTCATGGTCTGAAAAGTCTTTCTTTAACTAAAAGTTGTTAAGGGCAGAGTCCAAGGCCTGCTACATTTCATCTTGCTCTGAGTAATCTGTTCTTTTACAGTGTGTTTTCATTGTTGGTCATATGATAACTAATCTTTAAAAGAAATCTTTTGACTATTCAAATAGAAGCCTTTACTTCTGTACATGACAAAACTGAAGAGAGGATTTAAATCGGGGTGGGGAACCGAAGGCCCGGGGGCCAGATGCAGCCTCTGGCCTGCCTGGTCTGGCTACGAAGGCTCAGGACTCCCCCCAGCATTTGAGAGCCCATGATGGCGAGGAGTGGTTTTTTTCCCTCACTTGTATGCAGCCCGACAGATTTTTCTGTGGATCAGTGGCCTCCGACCCAAAAATAGTTCCCCACCCCTGATTTAAATGCATAACCAGAGGTTAGAGATAGGGCAAGGCTGTATCTTACAGAGAGATCATTTTAAATCAAAATATTAGATTCTACATTACTTGGTTGTATTGTATATTAAATTAGGTTACCAAATGTGATGTCTTGCAAATGTTCAGGACTTGACAGTCCTCCCAGGATGAAACAGTGGAAATATTCAATAACTCGATAAAATTATCATACAAATGTGTAAGCCAAAACGGATCCGGCTTCTTTTTTCTTGTGGGTCATTTCACTTGTTATGGGTTCACAGAAGGAGTAGCTTAGGCTCCTTTAGACCACAGGCTCCTTTAAACCCATATGTATGATCAGATCTATAGTACAGTTGTGGAATGTATTACAGTGAAACATCTGAGGTTTTTATAAAGGATTTGTTGGTTGATTAGATCTGAAAAGTTCCCACAATGTGTTGCATGGTGGAAGCGGCAATTTGTTAAAAGTAAGATTATAAAATTGTTAAATCTTGCATTCCCATTGCAAATTTCATTCTGAAGTAATGATCGCATCAGCTAAGAAGAGGAACAAAGGTGGGAGAAATCACTGTCAATTACGCTGCACTTCTGCAACAAATGTAAATAGAATACACTTGTCTCAAGGTTGGGGGATGGCAGTCAGGGTTGTTTTCATACAAGGCTTTCTTTCCTTTACTTATTGCTGAGAAGATTAGTAAGAATTTGTACTTTGGCGAACTTTTTAGTTTTGAGATGCAAAGGAGAATCAGCACATCTTTTACCTTTTGATCTCCATGCACATATAGAAACTGTTTGTTACCCCTTTGGATTACAAACCACATATAGTTGTCCGAGACAGGATGTGCCTGTGCCTAAAACGTAAAAGCTACAGCAAAGGATAACTTAAGAGACAGCACATTTTCAACACAAACACCTTTTATAAGTTAGAATGAATGTAACAGGGTCTGTCCTCTTCCTTCTCCTACCAGTGCAGGATAGTTCCCATGCTTCAAGGTTAAACACTGTCTTGGACTTAATAGCACATCCGGGCAATTATAATTATCACTTAGTTTACAATCTGAAGGTCTTTTGGGTGGTAATGCTCTTGTTGGTCCTTGCTAGGGAGGTAAAGGATTAATCGGTTACCCAGTAAGCATTAGCCTTATCAGCATGCTTACCCACTAATTGGTTAGTTGGCGGCTCGGTTTGGTCAGGGCAGGCCCTGTCTGTCCTGGCTGGAGCAGCCTCCTGTTGTGCCATGGGCAGGGGGCGGCTCCAGCTGCAAGTGTGGTGGGAGCTGTTCTAGATCTAACTTTTTAAACCAGTTATATGCTTTGTTAACTTTTTAACAAGGAATTTTACATCCCTCGTCCTTGCAGTTCCTAGAGGATGTTTCTCAAACGTGCAGCTCAGAAACCTCCCAGTTACTTAGAACTGTTAAAATAATAATGATAATGACTAATAATGTTTACACTGCTGTGAAATAACCAGATATTTTTATAAAGTTATCGCGGTAGGACTCTGTTTTGCCATTTTGTTGACCATGCTCCATTTCATCTCTTCTCTGGCAGCCTTTTACTGACTTTTCTTTCTCAGCTACATACTTGTTGCCCTGGCTATTCTACAATATACCAATTATTTGCTGCTAACACATACCTGGTATTGCTCTGGTCATTAAGAAGGGGTTCAGGATGGAAATCAGAACAGGGGCTTAGATGTGGGGTCTCAGAGCAGGCGACTGTGGCTGTGGCGGGTGCAGAACTCAGAATTGAGGGTGAGGAGGGACTCTTTGCAGGGGGCTGAGAATGTGGGGGGTGCAGAACTCAGGGATGTAGT